TAATAATAATAATAATAATAATAATAATAATAATAAGGGAGAAATGTGGGATTCACATATAAATCAAGTATAAAAATCAAATGAATAATCATATCTGACCTGATTGTTTATAGTTCATGATGTGTGATCAAAACTGAAAGTTTCTGTGATATAACTGCCCTTGCACTGTTCACCATGTAAGAACTTATTCACTATGTAAGCACTTGTTCACCATGTAAGGACTTGTTCGTTATGCTTCAGAAGATTGGAAACTGTTTGAGAATTAGGCTTGTGGTTGAATAATGATTGTGCATTGAGTCCCCTATACAGAATTTTATTGCTGTTAACAACCATTTGATCAATAAATATGACAGATGCCCTCTCAAAAAAAATAAATTAAGTCCTAATTATAAGAAATATATATATATATAATATATGTATATGATTCAGTACTATCTGTGGTTTCAGGCATCCACTGAAGGTTTTGAATATATCACCTGAGCATAAGTGAGGACTATAGAATAAAATAAAGACATTAGCGGGGTACCCAGGGAAAGACTTGGTACAAAATAAAAGGATGATTAACTGCAGGATAGTATGTCTAAGAAGTCTTAGAATGAATGTCATTCTAGCAGGCAAATGTGGAGTGGTGGGGGCATTATATTTCAGAGAGAGGAACTAAACATATACCATGTCACAGAAAGGATAAGGGAATGTTACACAGCTGTAAGTAGTTTGGGGTTTGAAGCAGGTAATAGCCACAAGTGGGCAAAGGCCAGGTATTATGGAGGTTGACCCTGTAAGTTGTGGGATTTAAGAATTTTAATCAAAATTATAGCAAGATCAGAAAGGTCCTTTTAAGAGCTTTTCTCTGCAAAACAATTCTCTCCCCTAATTTTGAACAAGCCACATATCAAACCACATCACCCTCAGATATCTTACCTACGTGATTTAATTAAATTCTGAAGGGATCAGACTGGTAGCGAGTGTTATCCCTGTCATTGTAATTCCAGTATCACCATGAGTGATGCCAATGTAAACCAAAAATCTTATAAACAAACTAAAAAGAAGAGGGAAGGGACAGGGGAAAATAAAATAAAATATTCAAACCTGGGTCTGAGGGTTAAATGAGCCAGTTGTCTGTCCTATTGTGTCACAGTTTTATCCAAATCCTGACAGGTATCTCATGCAAGCCCACACCCATCCCAAAGAGACTGTGTGACAGTTGGTGTTGGCTCTGCCCAGCAGTGCACAAACTCCAAACTGGTGCACCCAGGTGGCCTCAACAGCTTACCTAAAATTCCCAATTCCATACTACTGTGACCAGCAGGAACAAGAGTTCAGACTCCTGGTAACCCAGTTAGACAAATCAGGGAATGCAGCAGGAAACAGGCTGGTCATTGAAAGCCCATGATTCAAAATATAGTTTCATTGTGGTCACTCACCCTGCCATACCACGCACAGAAGCTTAAAATGTTTGGACTTTTCGGTGTTCTTTACCCTTAATAAGCACTACTTCCTGCTGAGCTCAAAGCAAGGTTTTCCATCCTCCCTCCACTGGGAATTAGCTGGCTAATGCTAAAAACATAGGGAATTATCTGGTCCTCCAAAACTCAGCCAAATCTGGTGAGAGTTTAAATGCTCCTTTCCTCAACTGTCAAAGCAGCAGGATCAGAGGGTCTCAGATTTAGGAGGTCCGTTATCCGGGTTGCATTGCTGCGTAAGCTTGTGGCTTTATGATTACTTAAGCAGTTCTGAGCTACAAAATTGTTAACCAAGCGTAACTGTTTCCTGAACCAAAGACACCTGAATAAACTGAAGCAAGCTGATCCTTGAAATGTTGTCAAATTTGGTAGATGTCACATTTTTTCCCCTTAGAGATCCTTCATTTGATACCCATTTTAAACAAAGGCTCATGACTTGCTTGAAGTCAGGACTAGCTCACTATGGTTCTCTTTCATACTCTCCCTCCTGAAGTTGGCTTACCATTGTTAAAGTGTATTTGCTTTTGTCTGTGTAACTTCTATTCGTTTGGGGTAGATACTGAGAATTTGTGAAAACTTTTACTGGCATTCATCAGGATGCAGAAAAAGTATGTACATCTATTTATTTCCTTGTTCTTTAAAATCTCATTCTGTGGATACTTGGGTCCCGGGTGCTGCAACATTTCTCCTCCCTCCCCTGATCCCTCAACCCCTTTACCCTCCCACTTTCCCCTGCGCCCTCCTCTTCCAGCTCCATATCACTCTGCAGTCTCTGAATTTACCACTAGATGGCAGCAAGCATTAGAGCATGTTTGACAGTCTCATTAGCCTATGCTGAGACCCGTGCGGTGAAATAGCAAATACCAAAAAAAAACATAGGGCAGTTTTCAAGATGGGGATGGGGAGCAGGAGATAGAAGGCTTGAGAATGTGCCTCTATCATTCCCTGATGATTTAAAAATCAGTCAGAGATACACATGTCTGGAGTAGTTCTGATGAGACTGTGATAAACCCAGATAAACTGTGTGGTTTCCCTTCAACCTAATAAGCCCCAGAGTTAACGAAACTTTTGTATCTGCTCCTCTATACCTTTAATTTTTAAACTTACGTTAATTTTAAGCTATGTGTACTTTGAATTTAAATCATAGCTTTTATTCCCCTGGACTTTGAATAACTTTATGAAGAATGTTTATTTTTAGTTTGTCTTAAATTATGCTTTTTAACAGATAGGACATAGAATTGGACAGCTGCTAATAATTTTTGTTTGAAAAAAATCTATTTAAGTAGAGTACAGTTTTCAGAGTTTCAGCATAAATTTTTTTCCTGCATATTTTGCAATATATATCTCAATTTAGAGGGTGCTGCAGAATATCCAGGATTCTCACCAGTAGGTATAAAATTAACCATAAAAAAGTTAAAGTGTGCATACTAGGGCTTTGCATTTTTCTGAAGCCTTAATAATTGTAACTTCACTGTGCTTACAGGGATCTTAGTTATCTTGAGATTTGAAAAAAATTACTTGGTCTAAAATCTAGAAAAAGAAAAAACTGTCTGGCTCTTAACTCTCTTTGTCAATGTCACTGATAGAGTTAGTAATAGACAGAAGACTATTCCCAGAACAGTTTCTAGGAGGTGTTAGAAATATCTGTGGAGTTGGTCAAGGTCAGAACTGTATGCATTAGCGACCAGATGTGTCATATAAGAAAAAATATTGGACACAAACAAGAAGAGACAAAATTGTTTTGTTATGAAGATACTGATACAGATAGTAGAGATTTTTGCCTTGACCTCAGACTTCTGTCACACATTGTCCTATAAATTCATCTCTGCTTATTGGAGTTTACTGCCCTGGCCTTACCCTTCTCTTCCCACCTCAGGGAAACTACCAGGCAGTCTCTTAAGAGCTAGCGAGATGTTGCTGTTTTGTTCACTTTGAGTTCGGAGCTTCTGTAGATGATCTGTGAACAGCCCATCTCAGAGCGCTGTGTCCTTTCAAGACCTTTGAGGTGAAAAATCAGGTAATTATTTCTCTGTACCTGTCAGAGTTCCATGCCAAGAATGGCTTCTTTGAAGAATGTCTGAACTGACGGGGCTAGTTTTCTTTACTCTTTTTCTTTTTATTTATCCAGTTGCTGAGGAGATGTGGCCAACACTGCAGACCCCAATTTTGGGGGTCCAAGTTTTTCTCAGGCATGTAGATCCTAAGTCCTCTTGCATACCTGGTGCCAGCCACTGGCTTTCACAGCCTCCACAGGCTGACCAGAGACTTGCAAATGAATGAAGCAAAGGTGGACTTCCTGACTGATAGGTTGCAGGGCTGGAATTCTGGGGGAGGAAAGTAGGGCAGGACAGCCAAGTTTGGGGTGAGCGTTAACCCCAGAAGCCTGTGTTACAGATGAAGGCAGGCTCCTCGCAGAAGGCAGTTCTGCCCTGTGTGCTCAGCCCTGGCTGCATTTAAGAGCCCTTTGAAGTAAATGGGGGTCATGGAATGAATGCCAAGATGTTTACTCTAAGAGCCTCCTGTCTGATTTTCTCAGAAAAGCCACCCTTGCCCTTGAACTCCAGGCCTATGGGTAGAGAAAATAATCAGGGTTTTGAACTTACAAATGGACTTTGAAACTTCTGTTGGGGAGACTTCTAACCCACTCTGAAAGAAGACATAACCCAGACTTTCCTTGAAAGACCAAAACCAACTGTTAATTCATGGCTCATGGCGCCCAGTAGGAGAATGAAAGGAGGGAGGCAGAATCTGGGAATCAAGGCTTTCCTTGATGCTCCGCAGAAGTCACTCAAAGAGCCCACTGTCTGAACCATGCAAAAAATGAGCCCCCATCCACACACCCAGCCCCTCGGAGAAAGCAGACTCGTCTAAAGAGGGCTGTAGGTGAGATGGTCTGCTTACAGGGTATGGTACTGTACTGATTCCACATTTATTTGAACTGAGAGTTCATGTGACCTTGGCTCTTGAAGCTTCTCAATTTGTGAAGGAAAATTGGGGGTTAGGGACTGTGAGAAGAGTCTTTAGGGATCATGGAAGCTTTGTTTTCTGCATTTGATCTTTGCCAGTGATACCCAAGGCTAAAAGAATCTTACTACCCTTGTTCCTAAGAAGGCAGTTGAGTGGCTGCTATGAACTTCAGGCAATGTTACCACCCTTCCTCAGTCCCTAAAACTCCTCTGCTTTCCATGAAGTCATCAGTATTTTCCAAGTCTCTGCTAAGTAGCCACACTGTGGATTTTAAGAGGAGCATGTAACTCCATCCCTGCTCTCAAGGAGGTTTGGGTGTTACTGAAGAAATAAGAGTAATGGACATGAAACATTTTGAGACTAATGCAATTCAGTCCGTGGTTTAGTACCATAAGCACTTGAGTGGAATTCTCCCCTGACACCCCCAAAAAGAGGAACAATCTCTGTGGATTAGGGGAAGCACCACAGGGTTAAGCAGAAGGGTTAAGCAGAAGTGAAGATGGTCTTCTCTGTGCTCCCCTGGCCTCCGCTCGCCAGGCCAGCTCTTCTGCTCTGGAGAAGTCATACAGTGCGGGACTGAGGGGGGAGACCCTACAGCCAGACTGTCTGGGTCCAAATCCTTGTGGTCCAGTCACTTTTTGGTTGGAAAATTTTCCAGTTGGCTCAGTGACTCAGTTATCCCATCTACAAAATGGAAATAAAAATAGTACATACCTCACAAACTCTGTGAGGTTAGGAGTTAACACATGTAAAATTCATAAAACGGAGCCTCCAGCAGCCAATGAACATCAGCTATGGTGTTAGCTTCTAGCCGCATAGTCTCCTCAGAGTCATGCAGTCTGGCGGGTCTGGGTGCTCCTGTCTTTAAAATGCCTTTCTTTTCCTTTCTTTTCACTGCTACCGTTACCACCCCAATAAGGACAGAGAAAGAACTGGGCTGAAAATCTTCAGTTTGATGTCTGGGTCTACCAATGTGCAGTTGTAAAACCTTAGAACATTACCCTCTGCAAAATGACGCAGCCGGGAAAGTGACACTCCAAGGCGTTTCTGTATTTTGCTCTCCTCCCAAGTCCAGGAATCTCTGAGTTGACAATCCATTAACAGTATTTGCCAACCACATGGGGTTTTCATTATGTTCCAGGCCCTCTTTTGGACACCCTATATGTATTAACTCATGTAATTGTCATAATGACTCTGAGGTCAGTATTACTATTATCTCATTTTCCAGAGAACAAAAGTAAAGCACAGAGAGGTTTAGTGACTTAGTCACAATCATGTATCAGTAAGTGGCAGAGTTGGGAATTGGACCCAAGCAACTGGGTTCCAGATCTGTCCCAAGGGGCCAACCACCCACCACCTTGCCTTGGAAGCACTAGTTTCTCCCTCTACTCCCAACTGGCTTCTCCATTCTTTGCTGGTAAGATGCCATCCTCAGTCCTAAATTTAGCACATGTCCTTTGCATCTATCCAAATCCACACATCTTTCAAGGCCAGATCACCTCCTTGAAACAGACCTTTCCTGACCTGGTTCACGTGAATCCCCATTCTCTCCTGGGGAAGGGTGGCTTCCCCAGCATCCTGCTGGGAGGAACCTGCTCTCAACAGAATAAACCCCTGGTGCTGCTCACAGGGGTGCTGAGCCTGCAGCTGTGGAGGGCAGCCTGCCTGCAGCTGCCCTGGAAAGTGCTGGCCTCTCTCTCTCTGGGGCACCCCCAGCCCTCCAAAGTGGACTTCCCAGATACCTTGTGGCCAGTTCCTTAAGTCAGGCCATCATTCAGCACATGCTCTTCACATAGGGTAAAGCTCCCAACTGTTTTTAGGAGAGTCACTAAACAAAAGAATACACAGAAACTTAATTTTAATGGAAGCAGACAACGGCTGCCAGAGACTAGCCTTTCTGCCCTCTCGCCCAGAGCAAGTCCTTGTCCAGACTTGCTGGAAGGGAAGGTGGAGGGAGGAAAAGGGGAGGAAAAGAGGAAGGGAGGAAGGAAGAAAAGACTTAGAAGTGGAGAGAAAAAAGGATTACATAGGGGGAGAGAGGGAATCCGAGCTGAAAGAAATGGGGAAGGAAAGAGACAGGAAGGGAGGGAAGAAACAAAGAAATGAAGAGTGTGAAATGAAAGAGAGAGAGAAAGGCCACCAGGGGGAAGGATGCGGGGACCAGAGCAGGGATGAAGGGCATACTCAAAGGGGCAGGAGGGACAGAACAGAGCTACCAGACCCCCACGGGCCAGGCAGAGGCAGCACAGCGCCAACAGCCTGTGAGACAGGCCACTCCCCTCACTGCGGAAGGTGAGCTGCAAGCGTTTAAAATGTTTGTGAACAACTATGCCGCCCACACCCCCAGGGTGATAGAAACGTGAAGGGCGGGGCAGTCCCAGGCTCAGAGGTGGAAGGATGCAGCCGGTGAGGGGCTTTAGGCAGAGCCATCATCAGCCCCTTAACCTTTCCCCAAGGTTCCAGGCCATGAGCCAGCATAGCGGGGCTTACAGATAGTCTGCTCAGCCAGGGCTGGGCACCCCAGATGCCAGCTCTGAGGCCCTCCCCACTGTGGCATTTGTTTATTGGCTCCTTAGGGCTCTCTTCAGGCTTACCTGGGACCTTATGTTTGGCCTTAGGAGTCAGGCATGCAAGTGAAGAATTGTTCCTACACTGAAAACCAGCATTCTGGAGCCTTTTCCAAATAGCACTGCACAAAAATTCCAATAGTTCCCTACTGCCCAAGGTATAACCAGAGCCTATCTGTTTCTACCCAACACTCTGGTTTAATTTACCACCTCTCTCACCCCAATTTTCTCTTCTTCTTTATCTATCTTCATCCCCCAAGGCTTAATTCCACTCACTCACTGGAGCCCTCTCTATCCTTCTCCAGCTAGCAATACCCAATCTCTTTCCTCTGCAGACTTGTAGCCCTGTTGCATGTACTAGTTTGCAAGTTTTGTCATATTTCCTACCCTTACTTTTCCCTGGGCAAAATCTTTTCAAGGGCAAGAACCATATCCTGTATTCTTTGGACCCTCTTAAATACTCAGCCAGTGCTCATACATACTAGGAACTCAACAAAAGTTTGGGAAACCATTTCTCGTTTATACATCTGGTTTTCCCCTACAACCCTCAATTCCAAATTTGCAGCATCCCACTTTTGTACAGTTTTGAGGTTTTTTGAGCGAGACACTAGGAGAAGGGATAGAAAAAAATGAACAGCTTGGTGATGCCCGTTGAAAACCAGGCCATACTGAGGAATCAAATGTCTTGTGCCATGATGGATGGGTATGGGTCTAGAGTGGTTCTCACAACCAACACTGAGACTTATTTGCCTTCTTTTTGGATTTCCCTCCTTTGTTAAAGGACCTTGTGGATTATTTACGAGTTTACTCACATAGTGCTGTTTATGCTACATCCATGAGTCCCCCGATAGCAGAGCAAATCATCAGATCAATTAAATTGATCACAGGACTGGATGGCACCACACAAGGTAAGAGGGTCTGCAGTGAGCACGCCTCCCGTGAACTCCTCTCCGAGCTCTCTCCATGTCCCTTCTGCCTCATCAGTCTCCTCTCTTCTCAAATAGACAACTTTGCCTTACTGTGGCCCAAGTCACAAATCAAGCCATAAATAGTGCACAACACATAATCATACATGGTACATAAATGTACCAGAACTGCTGTAGCACACACACACACATACACACACACACACACACAAACGCTTTTTTAAAGCAGAGGAAACTTCCTAATTCATGTCTTTACGTCACCAGCATATTTGGTTAATTTGGTGTAATCAGTCGTGACAAAATGAACAGTAGTGTGGGTATACCTGTGCTTGCTTGGGGCTACCACTTGGGTTTCCCTGAGAACAAGTCAATTTAATATTCATTTTTTAATCTCTTCACTTGTTTCTTTCTTTCTTTCCAGCCAGATGTTGGGGAAGGGAAATATACCACTACCCATGTGAAGCTATTATGACAAAATACACACAATTATAACTGTCCAGCCATTTCTTTGACAGAGCCACGATGTGAGACTCTGCTCAATCCAAATGAGTTTAATCTTCTTTTTAAAAAGTTGCATCATCAAAACCTCTTAGAACTCTGCTTCTATCTTTCAGATATTATTTATAAAGCTTCTATTACATATCAGAGTGGGGATACAACAATGACTAAGACAGTTCTTGCTGCCACGCTGTCTAGTGAGTGCATGTATGGGAGTAGCAAATTAGTCTGGGCCCAGGACAGGTCACTGAGCTGGGCAATCCATGTTCCCCACCCCATCTCTCAGCTGATGTGAAGCCCTACATTGTTCATGGCAACCATCCAAGCCTGCTATTTCAGTAAAAGTATGGAGAGATCCATCATTTTCCGATTTCATTAAAGCAGCAGAATACTTTATTCACATACAAATTTTACCCAGAAGCCTAGTACATAAAACAGATTAAAACAGGGCTGAGCTGGTTGAAGTAGTGTCTCCACTTACCTCCATACTGACAGCTCTGGGACCCTTCTACTGAGCCCTAGTGCTCCCCAGGACATTGGTTTGAAAACCTCTAAGACAGAACTTTCTTCTTAGTAAAGCAGGAAAATGGCTTGCAAAATGATTTTGCTCCTCCAGGTACAATGCAGTGATTGAGGGACCATTAAAGTCCCAACCTTGTCTTTTGGGTTTTATGATTCGGTCTCCTGTTGAATAGTCAGTCTGAAAAGGAAATGAAAATCCAATCTAGGGAGGACACATGATGCAATTTCAGAGCACAAACTGAAAATTGCCTCAATTTGACCCTTGGGATACTACCTACTCGCTGTGTGCCCTTAGGCAAGTGACTTAACTTATCTGTTCAATCCTGAGCAAATTATTTCTCTGTGCTTCAGTTCCTCCAGCTGTAAAATAAGGAAAATACTGACCACTTGATATTTTTGTGAGAAATAGGTTAAGTAAGATGTATAAAATACTTAAAACTATGTCTGAAAATGATTATATAGTCAGCATGATATCATTGCTTGCTACTGTTATTTGCTATTATTCCTGAGGGGTTTAAGAAGTAGTTGGCCCCTGTTTCAGGAATGCTGTAGGAAGGATTCTTATGATGAAAGTGATGTAAGACTAGATGTCCTCCAAGGTCATGGCTTAGTCAGGATAAGTGAAGTTATGCCACCGTAACAAATAAACCCTGAAAATCTCTATGGCTTACCAGAAACAAGGTTTATTTCTTGCTCATATAATGTCTAATACAGATCAGAAACTCTCTTCACAGTTTTCCTCCAAGGGAACAATATTCGGGCTACTTCTAGCTTGAGGCTTGGTCATCTTATCATGTGGCCCCCGTGGTCACCATGGCAGAGAACAGGGGAACATTGGTCTGGAAGTGACACTTACCACCTTTATAGTCCATTGGGCAAAACTAGGCACATGGCCACACCCAAATTTGGGGTGGTGGTAAATTAAAAGGCAGGGGTATGGCTATAAGTAAGCAGATATCTTCCAACCTTTCAAAACTGAAGCTAGAAATAGGACTGTATCCATTCCCACATAAGCCATCAGGTTGTATGGAAAAACTGGTCTGAAACCACTGGCTTCTCATGAAGCCATATTAATGATCTTCTTGAACTTCATGCATTCATATTGCAAAACAATTATCTGAGATTTCAGCTAAAATGCAAGTTAAATGGATTTTCCTACAATGACCACAATTATCCTTTGTTCTTCTTTTAAAAATAAACAACTAGGAAAAAATTATTCTGAAATTAGTCTATGTCTCAATTAGGATCACTGATTTCTTACAGCTTTTAATATATGTACTATCAGAATCAGTTAATTTACATGGACCCAAGTTGACACTCATGTCTTTCCTCTGGATTGGTTTACCACTTCGTCACTGAGAGAACCCAGTCCGTTTATTCAATGACAGTTGAAAATCTGCAGAAAAATTACATTGAAAAGTTATGATCATTTGTCTTTTGATAGTAACCTATCATCAGTTTTTCTTCTTCTGAAGGGAAGACAGCTCCCTTGGTTCTCTTTCTTAGCCTTATAATTAAAGAATTCATTGGTGATTACTTTTAGCCTCTGGAAGTTTCTCACTTTACTCCTCTTGCCATTTTAAGAGAGAAAAGAAATAAATAAGAAGGCTATGTGTAGTCTGTTTTCTTGAAGCCAAGATAAGAGAACCAGAGAGGAAGATAGGACAATTTCTTTTCAAAGGCAGGAACAAAGAGAAAACAGTAAAAAAGAAAATTGACAGAAACATCAGCCAAGTTTCAGATGGTTCTGCCTGACACATCTTTTGAAGAATTCAAAGGTTCACAGTGAGTGATCCTGCTGGCCTCATTTATGACAATGCCTGCTTTAAATAAAACGAACAGGACAGGTTGGGACTATTGCATTACCTCGCCCCTTTCCACTGCGATAGACCGATTCGCAGGGGAATGTTACCCAAGGCTCAAAGGGATGCACTGTGTGGTGCCAGAGCCGCCTTTCAGGATGTGAGGGTAAGAGCCCAACTCTGAGGCTTCGTCCTCAGCCCGCTCTGCGGCGGCTGTGATCGGAGCCTTTCAAGGCTTTGTTTCAGGTTGAGTTTGGGGAGCGGTTGGCCAGATCTGTTCCTTGATGAATGTCTTCACTTTAATCTGCAATGCAAAGCCGTACGCTTCAAAGGCAGGCTACGGGAATAAGGTCAGTGTTCCTTTGAAGCCAAGGTTCAAAGATGAAATAGCAGCCCTGGTGAAATGATGTTTATGCACAAACAGTCACCTTCGCTCCGCAGCCCGGCTGCTCCGGGAGCTAATACACACGGCGGTGGGAGCTGCTGCCGCGCATGCGTCCCTCCCGCACAGGGGCTCTTACTCTCCTGGCCTGTCACCCGGTGCAGCACGAGGAGCCCAAAGTGGACATTTGGTTTCTCCAACCTAATGGGTGTTGGGCGGTCCACCAGTCAAAACAATCCTGTAAGCCCCATAAGGGCAAGAAATGTTTCTTGATTTAATTTAGTGAGCACCAAACCCAGTGCTCGGCTTAATAAATATATCATGACTCAACTTCCATCTCCTACCCTACTTGATTTCAGGTCCATGTTAATGCTAAACAAGGTCAAGAGGATGTTTATCTCTTGACACTGAGAGCCAGGAATCGGTTCCACACAGCTGCGGTGACTGAAGGGGCCACTCAGTGTTCAGGATCCCTCAGTGATTGACATTACTTTTGAGGGGGCCCAGAAAGATCATAGCTCACTCATTTTTGTCATCTACACATAACACAAGCTGCCACTGGAGACTGAGCCCCAAACCATGCCAACAACTCTCCTAAAGAGATCATTAGCAACAGTTGTTTTATTATAATTTATTTAAATCTTTGATGCATAATTTCCAATTCATCAGTCAACATTCTTTCTGAACTCCCGCTGTGGACCCTCCTTCCCCACCCTCCCTTTCCCAACTCTGGGTAACTTTTCATCTGAGGGAAAATAAGAGCTTGTACCTCGTGGAGGCTGAAGGATGTGTGCTCTGCAGCCAGATACGGTGGGGGCCCAGCCCCCAGCATGTCATTTGCTCCATGACCATACCAGCAGGCTGCTTACCCTCTCTTAGCCTCAGTCCCTGCATTGTAAATTGGGGTTGTATGCGGGATTCAGCAATGTGATCTAGCCAATGAATTTAACACAGTGTTTGATGTGTAGGAAAATCTCAGGACAGATTAGCAGTTACTGTTATTTTTAAATCATCTGCTTTCTTCCCTTCCTTCTCCAAATTCTCCAATAGCTTTTACTCATCCTGGAATTCTCCCTTTCTCTCAGACCTCACACCTACACTTCTCATTTCTCACCAGCTCCACCATTACCTCCGTCTGCTTGCTCCTAGATTACTGGAGTAGCTCCCTGAATATTCTCTCCACTTCTGCCCTTGCCTTTTTACAACTTGCTTTCCATTCAGAAACCAATACTATCTTAAAATATATACATGACTCAGAATAACCATCCATACAGAACCCTTCAAAGCATCCTATCTTACTGTAAAGGCCATACCACAGGTCTTCAAGACTTCTCATGATACGATCTTCCATTTTTCCACCACTTTGCTTTGATGCTTATAACAGAGTGGCCAGGGTGTCCCTAGAAAGGAAAACAGTAGTGGAAATTTACTTACAAAAGAAAACACAGAATTCCAGTTCCTAATGTATAATGTCCAATTCTAGTAGAAGACACACCTGCATCACTGCTAATAAAATCTCCTATGCTTAAACTATAGTTAAGAAAATAGAATTCTTTATTTCTCTTCAAAGTCATACGTGTCCCTCTTTGCCCTTAAACAGAATGAGTTTCTGGGTTACAGGGGAGATGTGTCTGGATATTGTGTGCACAGAAAAAAAACTAAAGGTAAAACTAAGATGAAATAATGAATTGTGTTTTTCCTGGAAATAAGGAAATTAGCTATGCAGCATACTCAAAACTATAGGAATTTGACAGGATGGAACAATAGGGTGTTTTAGC